AAATGAAACTGTTTTTGAAATGTTTTTGAAGGCTCTTAAATATAAAGCATTGTTTTTTAATCAGAGAAGTGCCTTTAAAAATCATGTTCCATAGCTAGTTTAAGTCCACCCATTCTTTTCAAGTTTGTTTATTGACTGTGAGAATCTTAACCAGACTTGTCAGAATCAGGCGATCCTGTTGGCAAGGCCAGTAAAAAGGAGTATTCTACTTAAGTATAGTAGCATGGTCCCTTTTTACACCCTTGGTTTACTGATTAGACATAAGCAAAGGGTATTTTGTTTGATTACATTGTGAATAACAAAGTATTTCTAATAAAGGCATTGTTTATTCATAATGAATGATTAAACATATCAAAAAATACAAGCCAATTTTTAACACCCATCGCACTAAAGAATGCCAGAACATTTTCCGCCATCAGACTATGGTTTCCCTTTTACATGGAAATGGGCAGAGACATTTAGATTAGATACTATAGAAAGAACATTCTTGATATATGATCTTTTCCTTTCATAGATGAATTATATGTTCAAGATTCACAATCAACTACAAATACAATTTTCTTTTGTACAAAACTTGAGCACTGAAACACTTAAACAAGATAAACAAAGAAGTCCAAGCTGACCGATATGAAATTCAGATTACTTTTTAACTGAGAGCTAGCAAGCACATTTTTACTGTGGGCATTTACCTGTAATGACATAAATCCATGTGGCTTGTTATGATTCCAAACAGGTCATTTAATTAATTGGTTAATTGCATGTAAATGAAGACAGCAAAGAGGTTCAAAATCATAATACTTTTAATTAGAAAACATAGAGCACAAGGTTGTTCAACAAAGATATTTTAACTCAACCTTTACACATAATATATGCACATTTTATCTAATTTGACTCTGAACAAACCTGTGCTGGGTGCTTACAAAAGCTTAAAGTGTGTACCTGTCAGCGATTTGATATTCATGAAAATCAAAGGGCCCTAACTTCAACACGCAGCTTGGTATGTCGCAAATATCTATTATTTGACATTTTTAGATGATGACTCAAATAATAAAGACATTAATTAATAATGAATTTTAATTTTAAGGCTTTTATTAGGTCACCTGAGTAACTCAGATAAACAAAGAAGTCCAAGCTGACCGATACTTTTTAACTGAGAGCTAGCAAGCACATTTATACTGTGGGCATTTACCTGTAATGACATAAATCCATGTGGCTTGTTATGATTCCAAACAGGTCATTTAATTAATTGGTTAATTGCATGTAAATGAAGACAGCAAAGAGGTTCAAAATCATAATACTTTTAATTAGAAAACATAGAGCACAAGGTTATTCAACAAAGATATTTTAACTCAACCTTTACACATAATATATGCACATTTTATCTAATTTGACTCTGAACAAACCTGTGCTGGGTGCTTACAAAAGCTTAAAGTGTGTACCTGTCAGCGATTTGATATTCATGAAAATCAAAGGGCCCTAACTTCAACACGCAGCTTGGTATGTCGCAAATATCTATTATTTGACATTTTTAGATGATGACTCAAATAATAAAGACATTAATTAATAATGAATTTTAATTTTAAGGCTTTTATTATTTCACCTGAGTAACTCAGGTGATCTATTGCTATCCGTTTTCGTCCTTGTGTTAACATTTGAACATTTTCAGCTTCTTCTCTGAAACCACTGAACCAATTTCAACCAAATTTGGTATACAGCATCTATGGGTGAAGGGAAACAAAAATTGTGAATTTCATGGTCCCCGCCCCCCTGGGGCCTGAGGGGTAGGGCGAAAAGCACTAAAATTATTGCAATCTTTAAAAATCGTCTTCTTTACTCCTGAACATCAAGCAGGCAAACTGTTGGCATGAATGTAATGAGCATTGAGTCCTCTACCAAAATTGTGAAATTCATGGCCCCAGGGTCAGGGGTTCTAGTGCTAGGGCGGGGCTATATAGATTATATAGTGAAAATGCATTATTTCTTTGAAAATCTTCTTCTCTGCTCCTGGGTATTAAATAAACTAGCTAAGTACATAGGTATGATGAGCAAGAGCCCCTCTTCCAGATTTGTGAATTTTATGGCCCCAGGGTCAGGGGTTCTGGTGTTAGGGCGGGGCTGTGTTGATTATAGAGTGAAAATGCATTTATTCTTTGAAAATCTTCTTCTCTGCTTCTGAGTATTAAATAAACAAACTAAGCACATAATTATGTTGAACAACAGTGCCTTTTCCAGATTTTTGAATTTTATGGCCCCAGGATCAGGGGTTCTGGTGTTAGGGCGGGGTTCTGTTGATAATATAGTGAGTATGCACTATATTTTTATTCTTTGAAAATCTTCTTCTCTGCTTCTGGGTATTAAATAAACTAATTAAGTACATAGTTATGATGAGCAACAGTGCCTCCTATAAAATTGTGAATTTTATGGCCCCAGGGTCAGAGGTTCTGGTGTTAGGGCGGGGCTCTTTTGATTAATTAATTCTTTGACAATCTTTTCCTTTGCTTCTGTATGTTATGCTAATGATCCAAGTATATTTATTTAGGAGGAAGAAAGGTGCATCTAGCAAAATGGTTAATTTCATACCCCTGGGTAAGGGGGGGGGGGGGGGGAGGGTTACATAGTCTGAAAATGAATTAATGCTTTGAAATCTGCTCTTAGGTATTAATCAACCATTTATGATGAAGTAAAATTAGGATAAAATTTCCAAAATTTTGAAATATGTAGCTCCAGGGTCAGTGGTTTCTTTGGGGTGGGGTGCACAATGGTTTACAGAGTGGAAGTGCATTTTCTCCTTTTAACTCTGATCTACCTCTGGGTCTTAAGTAAATAGAGTTAAAAGCATGCTAAGTTTATAATTATGATAAGCAATTGTGCCTCTTTCAAAATTGTGAATTTCATGGCCCCTGGTTTAAAACAGAACCAAATTCGATTGTTGGAAAGTTGTTACATGATACTCAGGTGACCTATAAGGCCCGTGGGCCTCTTGTTTGAAAAATGTTCGAAATTTGACGAGAAACCTTTACCACAGATAAGCCCCATTGAGACTTGTCCTTTGTTTGGACCGATAACTTTGAAGAAAACAGCGGTTTAGATGACCGTTTGAAAAAAAATTCAGTGTGAACCGTGTGATGCAAAGTTATTAAAGATCGGGATGCGCAGCTGAAAGTCACAAACACAGAAAAGATGGCCGCATATGCAGGGTGCTTGCAATCAGCAATCCTTGGCTGACATACTCCACTTCTAACTGTGTGCAAGGTACAAGCCACCTGAGGAGCTCCAAGTGCGCGACATGTTCACTCAGAGCTCCATCAGGGTTGCTCATACTTCGCACACTGACCTCGGATGTCAAAGGTGTTCTACCATCTTGCAGATTCAGTCATATGATCTAATTTGAATTTTATTCAAATGTTATACGCCCAACACTAAGTTAGTTTTTGCTTTCAAAGCTTACTAACATAATGTTGTAATCAAAACCTATTTACAGTGAAAAATTAGGCAAATCAAGAAAAATTTTCAAAGAACTTTCTGCAGAAAAGATGAGAAATGTATCGACATGATGCATTTTCCTCCACCTATCATAAATAAGGTTTGAATGAAGCAGGGTTCTCTACAAGGGGAGCCATGGTTAAATTTATGTGCCCCATGGTTAAAATTGGCCGCCGCCATGATAAAATTCTATTGCATTTCAGTCCTGACACCTACGTTTTTTATGAGTTAGTTAATTGTGTTTATACTATGACTGCCATGCACCTTGAGATGGAGAAATGTTGGCTGTGTTAAAACAAACACTGTCGTTAATCAGTGACTATGCTGTGAAGCTTGACAATGGAAAGTCAATCAGCTGATGATCAATACTTTGAGAGTTTACGAGGGGTGATCAAAAAGTTCGCAAACTAATTGAATAACTTCCATAAAAGGCACAATTTTTGGATTTAGTGTTGATTATATTTTAAATTAGTACTCTCCGATTTTAATGCACACCTGCCACCGTTCTGCTCATGCGCGAATCACGTGATATAGCCAGTCACCTGACCCCTTCCGCAGCATTCTGTCACTGAAGCTGAAAGATTTTTCTGATTTTTATATTTCTTTCCATGCAAGTTAATTTTTATAACAAGACCATTTAATTTGTTAGAAATGATCAATTCTCTGCAATAGAATAGGTGGATGAGAATATCCTTTCCAAAAATAAGCATGGCGACCATCAAAATTCAAATCTTCTGCCTTGGGAGAGACGTTTATTCAAGGCGGATAGAGAATGGATGCCTCCTTTTTAACATATCTAATATGTTTAAAATCTAAAGTAAACGATATCGTAGGTATTTAATAATCATATTATTGTTGAAATATTCAGCTATTTTTCAAAGTGTAAATTGGTGGCCTTTGATAGCTAATTGCTTAATTAAATACACATCTCTTTTCAAACTTGCGTTCACTGGGCAAAATAACAAGTATCATTTTTAACCATCTGCCTTCCTTAACTAAAACGATCAATCCAATCATTGATGGAATTTATAAGAAGTCATTCGTCTTATTAAAGTATGTGAAAATTAGTATACGCTTCTTCCAAGGGATTTCTAAGATATACCATAAATTTTACAGTCGTTTGTTGAACAAGTCCGACTAAGAAAACATTTTTCATCACAAGTGACCTGCATAGTGACGTCATTTTTACATTGTGACGTCACAAATGAGGAGTAATGCTTTATTCAGCATATGCTATTTATAGACCTTGTGTATGGCTACATGTGTACCATTTTTTTCCCTAATCTGAATTCTGGTTTTGTAGATATAGAGATAGTTTGCAACTTTTCGATCACCCGTCGTATTATCCTGTACACACATAAATAATTTTGGGGAACTTCAACATGTTTACTTCATGATTAGATAACAGGTTTAAAAAAACTGATAAATATCTTGTGAATGAAGGGGACTTGAGGAATGATGCTAACGAAATATTTAGTATTTTTAATCTTTTGTCTTATTACAGATAACTACAGACAATGGGCTCCTGGGATGCTTATGTCAATGTCTTTAAGGGTGATGGAAGTACTATGTTGAAGTGTGGAATATATGATCAGGAAGGAAATCCATGGGCTTTGTCACCAGGAATGTCTGCAAGTCCAGCCCAAGTAAAACGACTTGCCTCACACTATGAAGAAAGCTCAGATTTTTATATAAATGGGCCAGAGTTTGAGAATTCCAAGTTCGCCTTTCTCAAAAAAGTAGAAGATGGTGGAAATCCAGTCCTGGTCTTTAAACGGAAGGATGCTGAATCAGAGGAAGATAAGCATCTATTGGTAGCAATGAATACAGTGAAAGCTTGCTTAGTTGGAATAGCAAAGGGAGGAGAAAAACACAAAAGCGTAGCAATAAACTTAATTAGGCATGTCAACGAATCAATGAGAAAATATGATTATTGAATGTGAACCAGATGTAGAAAGTTTAAGTGCTAAAATATTTGAAGATGTTTTACAGCAAATGACAGCAAGGTCAATCTTTTTTTTCATTCTGTATGATTTTTGATGTATGGAACAAACAGTTATGAATTTTATTTTTATTCTTATTGCTTATATCAATTGGCATGTTTAGGGATTTTTTCAAGATAAGTGAGTTTTTGGTGCTTGGTTGAATATCAAGAGTTCTTGTGTAATAACTTTCATTTCAAAAGTTGATAATGAATGCAAAGCCTGTGACATATCAGCGCAATGTAGAAAGCACAGATGTTCATGTATATATGGAAAGTATAGTATCTCATCATTTTATATTCTTTTAGACTTTAAAGGAAGTAACTTTTATCGCCTTTGTAGTATATAAGTTTATATATTGACTTGATTTTATTAGGGCCATCTTCGGACTATATTATCCTGACTTAAATTGAAAGAAATTATTTTTCATAAATACCAAAATTTTCACACCCAAAAACACGAGACTGTATTTTAATTTTTATATTGGCAAGTACAAAATATGCACATGTGAAAGAAAAATCAGAATCTCAAATTTGAAAAGAATTTCTTGAAATTAAGCATTCATGTTAAAATTTCTGAAAAAAAAATTGAGTAATATATCTACCCCTAATTTGTTTTCACCCTGTATTTAGGAAGGCAAAGAGTATTTTTTAGATGGTCTAAATGAAAATTGTTGGTATAGAAGGAATGTTTATTTGTTTCTTTAAAATTAAGATTGATTGGAGACAGCAACTGTATCACTTTAGTCTGAGTCACTTTAGAATAAATCAGATGAGCTCTTGTATGAGGGGGGGGGGGGGGTTAGAAAAAAGGAGGCTTCAGATTATTTCTTTTCTTTTCTTGGGGGGGGGGGTGCTATGTTTTTTTTTTTTTGTTGTTATTTTGTTTTAATGGAGTGATTTTCAAATCTGAAGAGTCAAAAATGTTTTATACCATTATTACAGATGAAAGTCCAAGTTATATGGTTGTCTATGAAAAACATGGTTGTTAGTGATGACATTTTAAAGTGCAAATTATTTACCTTTGAATGTGTTCTCAGTTTCTTGTTCATTGTTACTTTGGAGAACAGTGTAGAGGGCTTTAATGTTGTGTTTGATCCAGTAAGGTTTATTTATATAATGTACATGAATACATCATATGATCAATGTGCATTACTTTGTCGGAGGGAAAGAAGGTTAGTGAATTTTACTCATTTAGACACTTCAAGTGTGTATGAAAAGTATGTGAAAAAATTGCTTTACAGGTACATGTAAACTGTTAACATATTAGAAAGCACATTTTTGGGTACTGTTGCTATAGAAAAGTAAAATATGCAAAAGCATGCAATAAAAATGGGTTGTACTTTGCTTTTGTTTTACATTATGTTTCGATATTAATTTTGAATACTAAGAGTGCATTTTAACCAAAGGAAAGATTTATTGAGTGTAATTTTTTTAAATTTCAGCCTATATTTGAGAAGGTTTATGAAAGGAGGTGTGTCTCTAGTTACCTTTTCTCAGTTTGGCTAAAAGTGATGAAAAGCTTTTCTGATTATTTTATGTTTTCAACTAACTTTTTATAACGTGCATGATTTGTACTACTGCTTCACAACCTTTTCATTGTTTGTGCTGAAGAAATTATCTTATATGTTGCAGAATGTATTTGAAGTATGGTAGGAATTTCCTTGTAACTAAGTGTACACTGTACTGAATAATATGGAAGACTTTTTATTAGCTCTACTGGTCAGAGACCAGAAGAGCTTATGCGATAGTAATGTGTCCGGCGTCCGTCCGTCTGTCTAGCTGTCTGTCTGTCTGTCCGTCTGTCTGTAAACAATTTTTCAAAATGCTACTCCTCCTACAGTTTTGGTCTAATTTCAATATAACTTGGCACACAAGTAGACTACACTAAGATACACAGTTCTGTGTATCAGTTTTTGATTTCGATGAACGGTGTTGCCGTGGTTACTAAAAATAGAAATTTCTGTGAAATTCTTTCAAAACGCTACTCCTCCTACAGTTTTGGTCTGATTTCAGTATAAATTGGCACATAAGTAGACTACACTAAGATACATAATTCTATTTATCGGTTTTTGATTTCGATGAACGGTGTTGCCGTGGTTACTAAAAATAGAAATTTCTGTGAAATTCTTTCAAAATGCTACTCCTCCTACAGTTTTGGTTTGATTTCATTATAACTTGGCACACAAGTAGACTACACTAAGATACATAATTCTATGTATCGGTTTTTGATTTCAATGAACGGTGTTGCCGTGGTTACTAAAAATAGAAATTTCTGTGAAATTCTTTCAAAATGCTACTCCTCCTACAGTTTTGGTCTGATTTCAGTATTACTTGGCAAACAAGTAGAATACACTAAGATACATAATTCTGTATATCGGTTTTTGATTTTGATGAACGGTGTTGCCGTGGTTACTAAAAATAGAAATTTCTGTGAAATTCTTTCAAAATGCTACTCCTCCTACAGTTTTGGTTTGATTTCATTATAACTTGGCACACAAGTAGAATGCACTAAGATACAAAATTCTATTTATCGGTTTTTGATTTTGATGAACGGTGTTGCCGTGGTTACTAAAAATAGAAATATCTGTAAAATTGTTTCAAAATGCTACTCCTCCTACAGTTTTGGTCTGATTTCAATATAACTTGGCACATAAGTAGAATACACTAAGATACATAATTCTGTATATCGAATTTTAATTTTGATGAACGGTGTTGCCGTGGTTACTAAAAATAGAAATGTCTGTAAAATTGTTTCAAAATGCTACTCCTCCTACAGTTTTGATCTGATTTCAGTATAACTTGGCACACAAGTAGACTACACTAAGAACATAAAGAGACTTTATCAACGATCATTATTCTATTTAGTTTCAAATCCCAGCTGCTTAAGTACTTTTCTCTTCCTTTGCTATAAGTTCAAACCAGTAGAGCTTCAGTCTCGACAGAGACTTCTGGTTGTGATATTCAAACAAAATGTGACAACCTACACAGATGTATGATTTTAATTCGGACATCTTACACACTACTATTTTTCAGATGGGTCACATTTGTGCTTACAGATCTGATGACAATAGCAAAAAACTGTTGCATGTATATCATGTTAAGTGACCATTTTTTGCTATAAATTCATTTAAAATTATTGCTCATTCAGATGGGCATTATGACATGGTAATTTTTATGTGAGTAGCGTAATGCTTTATTTACATCACCTGAGTCATGAAGCGACTCCTTGCTATCTGTTTTCATAGTATGTATTTTATCAACATTTTGAACTTTTTCATTTTGGCTCACCTGTGCTGAAAGTTTAAATGAGCTTTTCTGATCAACCTGTCGTCCGTCTGTAAACTTTTCACATTTTCAACTTCTGAAGAACCACTGAGCCAATTTTAACCAAACTTAGTACAAGGCATACTTTGGTAAAGGGGAATGTAAATTGTTAAAATGAAGAGCCAAACCCCCTTCCAAAGGGAGATAATCAAAAAAAAAAAAAAAAGATGGGGCCATAAAAAAATCTTCTTCTCAAGGACCACTGAGCCAGAAAAGCTGAAACTTGTGTGAAAGTATCAATAGTGTAGATTCTTAATTGTTAAAATCATGACCTGTGGTGGAAGGAGAGGCAAATAGGGAATCCAAGTTTACCATAGAAATATATAGTAAAAATCTTCTTAAGAACCACTGGACCAGAAAATCTGAAACTTGTTTGGAAGCATCCTGAAGTAGTGTGGATTCTATATTGTAAAAATCATAACCCCTGGAGGTTGCACAGAGCCACAACAGGAGATCCAAGTTTTACATTGAAATATATAGGAAACCTTCGTGGCCGCTGGGGTAGGGCAGACGCCATAACAGGGAATCCGAATTTTACATTGAAATACATGTATATAGGGAAAAACTTTAAAGTCTTCTTCTCAAAAACCACTGGGCCAGAAAAGCTTAAACTTATGTGGAAGCATCCTTGGTGTAGTGTAGATTCTAAATTGTCCAATTCATGACCCTCTGGGGTAGGGTGGGTCACAATAGGTATTACGTGGGTCGGGGGGTCGGGTAAAGAACAGAATGGCCAAAGTTACTCAGGCGAGTGATGTGGCCTGTGGGCCTCTTGTTGTACATAGCCTCTACAGTAATTATGAATCCTCCAAGGATTTTGAGGCGTGTGGCCCAAACTGAATGCAATCTTCATGAAAAAAAAACTGCTATCTTCATAAAAAAAATCTTTACCCCTGAACATTAAACAGTGAAATTGTTGTCAAAATTGGAAGTGTGCTACACCTTTGAAAAATTGTTAAAATTCATGCTTCCTGGATTTAGTGATCCCACAGTATTTAGTTCATCTGAGCCAGAGGGTAGTATGTATTCTAAGTTTGACATAAAATATGTAGGTAAAAGAAGGTTGGTCAAGAAAGGAGAGGTATATTGTGGCTTAAGTGAACATTTAGCCCATGAACTTCTTAAAGTACTTGAACAATTTCAAATTACTGACACTTTTTTTATTTGTCAGGCGGTAGGGTTTGGCCTTGTTGGTAAAATGCATTACAAATTAATTTTTTTCTTTTCATGGACATTAGCATGTAAGCTATTTTCATGATGAAAATAAAAGCTAAACTTCCCAAGTTATGAAAAAGTTGGTTATATACCAAAAGTAGGGATGGTCGAAAAGGAAGTCAAATCTTTGAAAATGTGTATTTAATTGTGGATTTATGACCAGCAAATTGTTTGTACCGCGTAACTCTCCAAAATTATAAAATTAATGTCCTATGGGTATAGCAGTCGGAACTGGGGAGGAGGCTAAGTTGATCATGAATAAACAGTGTGTCATGTTCTTTATTCTGAAAGATTCAGGAGACATGCTTTCATGAATTATGGGTTCTCTACGTGCTTTCTAAATTCAGTTTAAGTTTCGATCGGAAGTAAATTGATCATAGCTCTAGATAC